GTGTGGGGGTAGGGAGGTGGGTTGGTTAAAGCAGGGGATGGCTAACCTGTGGCATAGGTACCCTGCCCCTGGCAGGGATCAAAGTAATGGATGAGGCAGGGAATACAGGGCAGGGAGTAGAGAGAAGAGAAACCAATGGGGCAGGGAGCCCAGGGCAGGGAAGGTTGTTAACAGAGGGTCCCAGGGAGCTGTTGCCAGGCTCAGCTGCTACCCTAGCAAGATACCAGGTCTTTGGCCTCTGCTCTCGGCCCCATCACTGAGGTTCACATGTGCCTGCTTGTGCGTGTTCCAGGAGTACAAGACATACAAGGAGAACTTCTTGAAGCGGTTCCAGCTGACCCGACTGCCACCCTACCTCATTTTCTGCATCAAGCGCTTCACCAAGAACAACTTCTTTGTGGAGAAGAACCCCACCATCGTCAACTTCCCCATCACGTGGGTTCCCGCTAGGGTTGGGGGGCAGAGGTGAAGGGCTGGATGGCACTAAGCCTTGAGGCACACTCTCTCGGGGCTGGGGTCTCCCATGGGCCCCCCACCTTCTGTACCCCCTGCCTGGGTCTAGGGTATCCTGTGCACCCCCCACCACTGCATGGGTGTGGAATTGCTTGTACCCTCCTGCCTGGGGTCTCCTATGTCCCCCTGTTCAGTACCTGGGTCTCAGGGGCTGGATTTGCTTGCAGTGATGCCCCCCAGCTAATATTCCAGGGCAGCAGAGATTCCACAAGCCTCTCTCCACCATCTGCCAGCCCTGTCTGCTACAGGAGGGTGGTGTTGTGGGGTAGGGTATCCAACAGCACCCTTCCCCGGGTTCACAGCTGTATGACTGGTTGAGCTTGCCTTAGTTTGTGCATTAAGCAGGTCCTGTTCTTCCTCAGTTGCTGGGAGCTTCACCCTGGGACCAGGCCAGCTCCATGGCAATGCCCTGGGCAGGCATGGGATGGTAGGGGGGTGGTATGGATCCACTGATGCTCCCCTGCCCCCCTCCCCCCACAGGAACGTGGACCTCCGCGAGTACCTTTCAGAGGAGGTCCAGGCCACACACACACACACCACATACGACCTCATCGCCAACATTGTCCATGATGGAAAGCCCAGCGAGGGCTCCTACCGCATCCATGTGCTGCATCACGTGAGTGACTGTTAGGTCCTCTGTGCCCCCAATTGCCCAGGTCTTGGGTCTTTCGTGCCCCCTCGCTGCCTAGATCTGGGGTCTCCTGTGCTCCCCCTAGATCTGGGGTCTTCTGTCCTGCCCTACCCCCCACTGCCCAGATCTGGGATCTCCCATGCCCCCAACTGCCTGGGCCTGGGAAGCTCCCATGGCCACCCTCTGCACAGACCTGAGGGTCTCTGGTGCTTCCTTGTCCAGTCTGAGGTCACCTGTGCCCCCATTACTGCCCAGGTCTGGTGTCTCCTGTGCAACCCCTGACCTGGATCTCAGATCTGCCATGCCCAAGCCACCCCCTCACCCCTCGGTGTCACCTTGGCAGGGCACAGGCAAGTGGTATGAGCTGCAGGACCTCCAGGTGACTGACATCCTGCCCCAGATGATCACACTCTCTGAAGCCTACATCCAGGTGAGTGGGGCATTGGGGGGTGGGGTGGGTAGTGCTGCTGCTCTTGGCCCCTTGTGAAAGGCTGTGGGACTGGCTGTGAATTGGGCCTGGACGTGGGGCAATGAGTGTGTTGTGGTGGTCCCCCCCACGCCCAGATTGCCACAATCCAGGTTGCAGGCAGGGAATCCGCTTTCAGGCCAGCTGAGACAGGATGGCAGGACACTGAATGGTTCCCTTTATAACCCTCCCACATCCCCATCTTGGGCAGTGGGAGGCTAACTGGGGAAACTGAGGCATGGAAGCAGAACCTCAGTGCCTGGCTTTTTCTACCCTCCCCCAGATCTGGAAGAGGCGAGAGGATGAGGAGACCATCCAGCAGGGTGCGTGAGCAACGTACATCACTGGCATGGACTGCTGACATCTCCAGCTGGGTACGGGGGGTGGGGGTACCTCTCTTCCCCCCTGCTGCACCCCTCATTGCCAGCCAGACACTGGCCCCCTCAGGAGGTGCCAGACTCTGCCCAGGGACTTTTCTGCCTGCACCAAGGACTTTAAAAGGGTTTTTTTTTTTTATTGTGTCTCTTCGGTCTCCTTCCTGCCCCTGTGGTGCCCCCCACAGCTGGCCTCGGCTGGGAGGCATCCACAGGGCTGCCCACCCCCTCCCAGTGCCAGACTGGTCATACTGGGCACACAATGCCCTCAGGAGTATCAGTAACTCCCCTCCCTCTCCTGGCCCAGCTGGGGGGGGAGGTAGTTAAAGCTTTGCGTCATCCCCCCCCCCCTGCAACAAGCGCCTTACCCCTGTTCTTTCGTACCAGGGGCAGCTGGCTGGGGTCTCCTTGGATGAGGGGAGAAGGGAGCCTCTGAGTCCCAGGAGGGGCTTCAGGTCCCCCTGCCCCTAGGTGAAATGCAACACTTCTAAGTCACCTGGCAAAGCAGCGGGGTTTATTGTAACGGCTGTTTCCAGAGGAGGAGCACGGGCCTGGGCCCAGCTGTGCTTGTGGGGCAGCTTGGATTCCTGGGGGGTGCAAAGGTCGGGCTGCAGGGGCATCTCGTTGCTGGGGGGGGTACTGCTACCCCCATACGTGGTCCTGGCAGTGCTTCAAAGCCTGGAAGAGAATTGTGGGGGTCATTGTGTGCCCTGGGCTACTTGGAAGCCCCCAGCTGGGATGGAGGTGACAGAGTCACTACCACCCACGTGGTTCAGGGCAGGCCCTGAGGGTCAGGCAGGGACCCGTGTACCCTGAGGGGCCCAATCAGTGCCCTCCAGAACAATACTCACGCCACACTCCTTAGCTGCCTCCATGCTGGAGCACCAGTAGATGGGGCCCAGGCTGCAGCGCTTGAGATCTGAGGCACTCTTGGCCTCACATGCCCCCAGATCCTGCAGGCACAGGTTCCTGTTAGCCTGTCCAGGCCTGGGCAGTGACTGCCCCCAGTGCTGGGGCAGGGCTTCTAGCCTTCGGCTAGGGCCAGTGCCAAGCTGCAGGGCAGGATCTAACCAACCCTCTTGGGCACCTCCCTTACCTGGCAGGCAGCAAGGGCATCCTGGTGCCTCCCCCACAGCAGGGGCAGGCGAGGCTGATGCTGGTAGATGAAGTCCATACACTGGCAGGCGGGGGGGGGCATGAAGGAGGGGGAGGTCAGTGCCTGGGCACACACAGACCTCCCCCCCACCCCTAGGGCTTTGGGTACCTAGCACTCACCTGCTCCCAGCCCAGGTGGGCGCTGGCGCAAGCTCTCAGTAGTGCTGCCTCAGCCCCCGGCCCAGAGCTGTTGCTTCCTGTACCTGCCAGCGCTAGGCAGACCCTGCAGTGCCCTGCCTGCCCTCCAGCTTCTGCCTCTGTGTGGTATGCAGAGGGTTAGTGCCCCCCCCCACCATGCCCAGCCCCCACTTCCCAGGGCAGGCAGTGCTGTACAGCCCCAAATGTGGCCAGGCCTGATCCTAGACACCCCTCGACTCAGAGGGGCCCCTCCCCCCAGAGAACCCAGGCATTGGAGCTCACAGCTTGCCTTCTTCCAACCCTGCCAGACCCCCTAGAGAACCCAGGCATCCGGGTGTCCCTGCTCCCCCTCAAGGAAGCCAGGCTTCCAGGGGCCCAGTCCCACAGCCCCTCCCTCTTCTGACTTCCCAAGACCACACCCCCAGAGAAACAGCATCTCACCCCCACCCCTCTGCTCTTGGTCCCCCAGGCACCCCTGCAAGAATCCAGGAGTCCAGGGCCCCAGCACCCCCCTCCAAGAGAACCAGAGGGGCCCGATCCTGTGCAGTCCCCCACACCCTTCACCCTCCCATCTGTGGCCCCTACCCACAGCCTGAGCTCACCAGGGCCATAGCCATCCTCGGCTGCGCACATGAGCAGCATCCTGCAGAGCAGGTGGGGCCCAAGCTGGCCCAGTGCTGCCTCCAGCGCAATCACCGTGTACTTCTCAGCCAGGCACTGGCAGGTCCCAGCTACTGCGCCTGGCAGCAGGTGGCACAGCCCAGACATGGCCTTGGCAATACCCTCCTGGAGGGGCAGGAGGGGAACAGTCAGGAGCTAGCCCCGCCAGCTGCCTCTACCCATTTCTGTGCGGGGTGTTGACTCTGGATCCTAATGACAACAGTGCCCAGCCTTGTTCCCATTGAATGGCAGAGCTTGGACAGAGGCAACAGCCCAAGCCAGCTTGTGACAGCCGTCAACCCCTGAATACTGCCTCCCCCACTCCTGTAGGCAGTACCTTGGGAATGGTGGATTCGATCCGGCCCACGAAGGAGCGACACATCCAGCAGAGTGGCAGGGGGATGGGCAGGGCCTGTGGAGGGGGAGGTATCAAGGCTGGGTTGGGGCAGTGGCTGAAGAATTGCCCCAGCTGGAGCCCAAAGACCCCAGTTGTGGCAGTAAGTAGCAGCGCTTCCAGCCCCCAAACAGCTCCTGGTGCTGGCTGGATCCGTGGTGGGAAGTGTCTGCATCCCCTGACTTCTGAATCCTGGGACCTAATGACCATCATGTTAACTCTTGTGCCCAGCAATGGCTGTGCTGACCCACTGCCCCTTCAGCTTCTTGTTCACTCTGAATCATAATGATGGAGTTGACTCTGGATGCATTGACTGAACCCAGAGGTTTCTGACGTTTAAATGCTAACTCCAAAGCCCAGTGATGGCTGTGTTAACTCTTTTACCTCTGATCACTCCAGTGATGTTT